CCATTTGGTTAACAGAGGTAATAATCTTGGTGACAACATACAGTAATCCATAAGTTATTGACCATAACGCGTGAAGTATACCTAAGGGACGACGTTACTACTCATGTATTGTCTCTGTTTTATAAACATGTTAAGAGGACGTCGGATTCGTATGTGTTATCTACGTCTTACACTCTTGTGACATCACAAATTTTCGTTCACCAGTTTCAATAGTGTGCTGTTAGTTTTGATATTAGAGTGAATTGACCTATTATACAATTTAAAGGTAAGGTTATTATTTAGGGCACCGCGTAGGCCGAGTATTATTACTATTATTATTTTTTAATAACTTATGATCATTTTAAAATGTAGTTTCAAAAAGGTTATAATTAACAAAAATTAGGACGGGGTTCCATTACACGTGGCCGACACTGGACACACTTATTATGACCTACTTAATAATAATAAATAATAAATGCGACATTGCCGGTCAGCTGTAAATATCACGGGTCACGCGGTATAATAGCCAGGGTATAATAGCCAGTGTGGTCGAATGAGATAGTTTGAGGTGGTGCGAATGGCGAGGTACTTGCAGGTAGATTGATTGGTGATTGGGTAGCCGACGGGGCGCTGCGCTTTGGTGGCAATGTCATTAAAATCTGTTAGATTTTATTTAGGTCACCTACAGGCAATGCCCAATCGATACACGGCATGCACAGCAAGCAAACTAAATTCAGTATTAGTTGTTCATACTTCCCGTCCTGATTCCCGATACAAGATACATAGATAGCCCTCTGCGATTATTGAATTTTCGTCAGCATTTGGTAAGTATGGTTTTGACATTTTATTTGTTCACAACATCTGCCAAGATGAATGCAAAATTTTTAAACAGAGTCAGATAACATAAATCCTTTTGTCTACATCCGACTCGTGACGCTGATCCTTAAATGTTCAAGTATTGGAAATACATATATGGTGGTCAGTGTTATACTTAGGAGCAAGAACCTTAGAACCTGGTACTAAAATTCTGCATGGTATTAATTATATATAAATATAATTGTAGCTTGCAGGTTAGTGCATGTCATTACACATGAAATGTAGGTATCTTTTATTTTATTTTCAACTGAGGACCAAAAAGTTGAATCGAAGGGGATCTGAAGGGTGAAGAAAACTAAATATGTGTTGAAAACTATGTTATACGCGATCAAATTATTATATTATCTCCGTATTAGAAAAATGTACATTAAAGTCATTGCCCACTCTTATTTAAACCGCATGTCGAATAAAAATATGTACTATTTAATTTGTTTAAAATATGTAATTACTAATTTGTAAACAGTTGCCTGGTTAACTTGATGTAGACAATGTTGCGCAAAGAAACCTAAATATTTATTTAGACAATGATAAGAGATCCATCTCAATTTATCTGGATGAAAAAAGATGAGAAATTTAATATTTTGATAACTGAAATACAATTTTTTTTTAAATGAGTAATAAACTAATAACTATAATTTATTATTAAAATATAATTATTATTTAGAAAATATTGTTTCATAAATTTATGATTAGATTTTTTATAAGATTAAAATATTGTATTGTTATAACTTTTTAGTTATTATTAATTCACAATAATTTGTATTTTTGTAAAAAAATTATATTACCGACTGATTATTACTTTTGAAGATTGGTTTATAGTTAATAGATTTTATACTCATATAATTTATTATTATTATTATATTATATTTAGTAACCTAAATCCCTTACCTCGATGTATTAACATGATTAAGTGATTTACGCTAATCTACTTATACGGTTATATGGGAGTATTGGGCCTATTAATGTACTATGTGAGCCAATCAAAATGTCATTGTTGTGTACTGGTGTGTGTGTGAGTGTGTGGCTAATGGTCCATGTTGAAACAATTTCTTTAATAATTATTTAAAGAATACCGTTTTCAGATGCCATAAATGCAGTTAAATTTTCTTGGTTTAATGTTGATTTGTATTTTGTTCTTGACTCTATTGAGCTTAAAAAAGCTCTTTCGAACAGTTTCAACTTGGCATAGGTAGTAAAGTACATTTTTTTTATTCGACTCAATTGACTGTGGTCTGTGTCTCAAATTGTGATAAATGTTGGCAACAAAAATCTGTGATTTTTTTAGGTGATTTATGCGACGTTGTAGCTTATAACGAAATAAGTAATGGAAAAATCTGAGGCAACTAAATAAATTTAACTATAGGGCCCCGGTGACCCCCGTTTAATCCATGCTTGGTATTATAATGTCCATAATTCGATATAATTACAATAATTGATCGCAAACAATTATATTTCTGGCTATATATTTATTTTTTAGTGATAAAATGAAGGTTCCTATTCTATATTTTATTTAATAATTAATAATTAATTAAAATAATTATACTATTTATGTAACACATTTTGGAAAATCTCGTAGCCACTATAAAAACTGAAAATTATGTCAACGCAAACATTCTAAGTGCATTTATAACGAATAAAAGACAAGGTTTACTTAGGTTTGGAACCAGTTTTAAAGATGACAGTAACTGAAAGAGTGTAACCGAGGTATAACGGAGTAGGGTCTTTTTTTTTGAACACATCCTTTTATAATTTAATAATCTATAATCGAGAAACACAGGACGAAAAACCGATATCCTCATTTTCAATAGGTGTAATTAATTATTGATGGATATAACAGAAAATTAAGCGTACAAAACCACACTTTTCACTTCAAATTGATCAAAATAATAGTTTTTGTTTTTTTTTTATTGAGGATACCTTACTATATTTCAAAAGCCCAATTGTTTGGTATAACTTCCTTAACCTGTATTTTTACAAACAAATTCAAATTAAGTTGCCCTAAAAAGTTAAAACACACATTTTGAAAAACGTATTGGGCGTTCTTAAACTAGATTTGTTAAATTTAAATGAGTATGACTCTTTGCCTAACTGTACACAGTAAGAATAATAATCTGGAAGTAGAGGAAATGATACATATAAATATAACTGTAGATATTTAAAAATGAATGTATCATCATAAATATCTAATCAATAAACAATAGATATAATTAAATTTTAGTTTGAAGTGCGCTTTAATCATATTAATATGAATTGTTTATAAATAATACAATAAATTTAAAATAAACACTCATTATCATATGAAACATATATTAGTAGATAGCGGGAAAAATTAATTTATTAATTTCATATGAGCAATTGAATTTATTATATCTGAGCAATGATAGTGATAAAATAGTTTTATTCTACTTGAAATAATGATAAAATACAATGACATCATAATGTAGACTTAATGTGACTTTAAGAGTTACTCAACTATTTCTTCTTTTTTTAAATTATTAATTGTTATTTATTACATTAACTTATTTAGTTATGTATTAAACATGGTTGTACATGCAATTATTTACTATAAAAATTAGCTCCATTTTTCAAAGTTCTTCACATTCAATTTAGTATAGTATAGATATAAAAAAAATTGTAACCCTTTAGTTAAAATAAAATAGACAATAGTAGAAATATTCCATCATCATTCATTTGACTTAATAATATATATGGTAATTTTATATTGGTGTACGTACATCACATAAAACAACATTAATCATTGTTTGTTTTTGTGTTAGAATATATGATTATAACCAGGTAAATAACTAAGTTAACTAGTAAATTAATGTTATCATTTTTTTGTGTAAAAAAACTGATTACTTGTTAAAAACAATTGAGATCATGAGAAAATATAAATTTATTTTGTTTTTATTAAGATGATATAAGACTAACTTACCAATCAATGATGTGTATATTACACACAATAACATAATATGCGTTGTGAATGTAACATAGAAGTAGGTAGTTGAAATTAAATCTGTCTATTGGCACAAACAGAGGGAGGGGTTCTTAGTCTGATTCAAAAGTCAGAACTTGGTACTAAGCATATATTATTTTTAGATAATAATTTAGGAGACGGTGCTTAAGATCAAAAAATTGGGCTATTTATGCCTAAGCATTTGTCACACCGTCAACACTGTTAATTTAAAAAAATGTACACACATAATCATTTTTGTATCGATACAGAGTAAATATAAAATAATTGAAAATAAAAGATCCAATTTAAAAAAACTATGCTTTAAAATATATTATACTTAGTAATCTACTCTCATATATTAAACACATTATGGAAACAACTGACTGTTGGTCGACTATCAATCAGGTGCAAGTTGATTTTGCTAAATCTTATTTACATAGCTAAACAGCCAGTGAAAAAAAGACTAAAAAAAAAATGAAGTGCCAAATGTCATTATTTTTGTTTAAAATTGGTACGAATAATGAAAATTTAAACCCAATAATTATATAATATATTATAGAAGTATTTTTAAGTTTATTGATCAAATAAATATACCTAGTTTGAAAATAATAATATGTACAATATTATAATCAAAAAACATAATACAAAGAATATGAAGTATGCTCAATGATAAGACTGTGTATATTTATTTAAAAGGTAATGTATAATTTATATATTATGCAAACAACAATAAACTGAAGTTGATGTCACACATATACACCTACATTTAATCATTTTATTCTTATTATGCGATGCAGTTTGCACAAAAACACAATACGATGCACATTCGCGAACTAGAACTAAAACACGATTCTGGCTGACCAAACTTCTTATTTCTTATACTATGATAAAGAATTCAGTGATAAGACGTGTACTCCGATCTGAAACCTCTTAAGGCGCCCAATGGAAGCCACGCATTAAATCAAAACATACAAATTATTAAGTAACGCGGCTGTATAACACTGAATAGAAAATTAAAAAAGAATAAAGAAACATGTGTCTCGAATTATTGACGAACTGGCAAACATCTCAAAATATTCATAATAAAGTATAAACATTGAAAATTACCACTATGCGTTATCGCAAACAGATGGGCCGCAGCGTTAATGATAAGACGCGGGACAACAATGTTATCGTTGAGCTGATAGCTATTTGAGTTAAGTTGCATCTTTGATCAACGATGACGAAACTTTACGGACGGCGGTCTACCATCAGCTGTTCGACCCGTACGTGCATTGCATGATGGATTAATCCGTAATACATAATAAGTTTCGTCTGCACAAGCGCGGTGCGCCACCGTCCTCGCTCGCTCGTCAGCCATCAGTTGCTTCACTGGATACCTACGATAACGATGTTTGCTGCGCTGCGTCGGTCCGCGATTTGAAAACCCATAAAAAATACGTCGATTATCGACTGCGCAAGAACCAGAACTTATATTATGCATTGTTGGACGTGATGTGACCTGTTTCAAACGTCCAATTTTCAAGCACCGTTTTGTCGCGGTCTTACGATCAACAACCAGCAGAATAACAGACGTGGAGGGTAAGCATCGTACCTACCGTCCTACAGCAATTTTAGAACAAAATACTTATCGTATAAGTTCACGAGTAACGTCGAACACCGTATTCTAATTCAATGTTTTAGGTGATGAGTGGTGACATTTTGATTAGGTAGTCGTAAGTCCCTCATAATATGTGTATTTTGTGTCTTATGGTGAAGTGGGAGTAGACCGTCTAGAGCCCCCCTTCCCAAACAACCATAATATAATAGCTAGTTGACCCCTCCGCTCCATTTCACCTAGTACCTGCACGTTGACTCCCTCTTCCCTGACTGCCAATCGTTATTCTCACAAGCCAATGTTGGTTACCCCTCCCGCCCCTGTGCGCATAAAACGCAGTAATGCTTCTTTGCACTGTGCATAAAGTTTTTTGTTGTCGGAATCTGTGGTGTGTTGAACAATTTTTAAACTTCAGGTAAAAACTATTCTAAGCACCTATCAGTCCAAAATAATATGGACTTGGTGTTCTATAAACAATTTTTTTACACCAAAGCTATATTTTATTATATATTTTTTGTTTTTTTTAAAAATGTATTGCTCAAAAATTCTTCCAAAACCTATCAACATATTGGTCGATACCCAATAAGCCTATAGTCATAGACATATAATAGCATTATATTATGTCTATTACAGACATAATGGCTCTAATAGATGAATGTGGAACAGGATTATTACTGTTTGTGGTTTGGTACGGGAGGGGGGGGGGGGTCAAGCATTTCCCCGATTGTTCCGTTTAGTTCAGTCACCAGTTACAAATTCTGATCGCCACTATCAGGCATCAAACGTCATTATAGAACTTCAGGCAGAATTCGCGCATTTTTGACGATAGCGCAGACCACCTGTAAGATTTTCAATCACCGTTTTGTAATGACATTCTTGGTACTTGGTAGGTACCTTTATTTTGAACGATAGTTAATAATATGTGTACTTTAAATAATAAATTGTACACTACACTGCTGTAGGTTTGGATTTACGTGCAACTTTTCGTCAATCATTGATGGATCTTTCGACTTCTGTCAACTGATTTGTTCAGATCATTTTATTAAGCTTTGTTTTTCAGTTTCTATAGACTTATCCGACTTGTGGTTTTACCCATTGATGTTAAACTTATAAACATGTCATTCCTATCTTAATTTAATATACACGGTTTTAAGCTGACATAACGGAGAGAAAAACTATGTTTCTCACTTGCATAGAAGCTTCTGATGGGTGATATAGAAACATTTTAACTTTCTACTTTCTAGTGAGGATCCAAAGTGGCGAAAGGGGCCGCATCCCTCCCCCCCCCCCAAGCCACCATTCTCAAAAATTTTGTTTAATATACTGGGTTTTTCGATTATTTTTGTTACTCATTACAACCAACTCAAGTTTTAAGTTTTATAAAATTACAAAATAAAATAATATAATTTTATATTTATTATGTAGTGACTAGTGGGTAAGTGTATTACTGTGGTATAGGCTGGTATACCTATATTGTGTTCCGTCATCGATGATAATTAATTTTCGCAGTACCTACACATTGGTTTTAATTAATATTTCTCATAGTAAAATCATGAAAATAAAATATGTTAAATAAATCAATAACAATGTGTTTAGATGTTTAGCTTTCTCAGTTAAACTGTGTCGGCTATCGACGACAGTAATTATGTCTTGAGAAAAAAAACATAGTTTGACTGAAATAGACGAAACCTAAAAACCAAATATGATTATTTTTTGTACCATTATAAATTAATATAGACATCAATATTTTTATACATTTACATGGATCAAATCCATGTTGTATTATGCATTATCTAATTTAAATGTACATTTTTTATGGGACATGCGGATGCGTTACACTAAAAAAATGTATCATATAAAACAAATATATTATAACTTATAAGTAATATTAAATATACCTATTGTTTTATTTTATTTAATTGGTTAAGTAATGGGTTATTTTTGACTTGTGGCATGTTTAAATTGTTTTTTAAAAATATTGTCTGCTAGTAATATATCTTTCTATTTAAATAAAATAATGTAATTCTCAAAAATGTAGGTTACAAAACGTAACCTATTTAGGTATGTTATTTAAAAAAAAATACATTGTAAATATTAATATACAAAATAATTTCCTGAAAAATGTGATTGGTTACTATGTGTCATTTTATTTTTAAAATCCATTGCTTCTATTTTGGACAAATTATCTAAAAAATGTTCATAAATCAAATTAAATTTTGTTAATTATATTATAATATGCATTCATTTTTATTAATAAATTTAATAAAAATCTTTACTCATTCTGTGCCAGCAAATTCATACTCCTCTATAACTTGTAATGTATCACATCAATTAACTAATCATATGATCAATTTCTCACAATGTAGAAATGCATATAATTGGAGTAAAAAACTTGTAAATGGATAAATTAATATGGTGTTAAATATAGTCAGTGTTTCGAATTTGAATGTAAAAAGGAGCACATACAATAGTTATTATATGGTTTTTTTTTATTCTATAAGTACTTCAAATTATTATTTTAGTAAATTTCATACTATATTCATTGTTATTTTATTCGTCAAACGTAAAAATTATATTAATGATAATATTAATTTTTTTCTATGGTTTCAGAATATCTATTTGGTACAAAAATGTCCTTATGTATCATTGATTAGCCAGATAATACGATATTGGAAAATATTTGAAAGGTTAATTTTAATACTTTTGAGTATTTTATACATTCAATGCCTGAGAATTGAAAAAAAATAAATCAGCGGTATAAAATTTATAAATTTAATGTACCTATGAAATTATGCTTAAAAACTATTATTTGTTATTAGGTGAACATTTAACTGCAGTACTACACCCAAATATCATTCGACATGTCTCATACTCAAAATTCTATCAATAACAGTCAACATTTTGTAAACTGCAATGTTGAATCAAATTCACCAAAACTAGTCCAAAACAGTCAAGAAAGGCAAAATAGTCTTTCAGCTACTAATCAATATGCTCTTGACGTTACTGACAAAACTGCTTATTCGACCCGATCATCTAGACAAAGCAATGTTACTAGATCTAGTAGACAGAACAATACAACTGGATCTAATATACCTAATATGCACCGATTTGACATTGGCGAATCTAGTTCACAGAGAAATAATATTGATTCTAGCTCATGTATGTCACACCATTTACAAAGAACTTTATCTGAATTAACAACTGAAGCATGGGGTAAATATAGAACTAGATATCCCACTACTTCTAGTAATCATTTAAAAAAAACACATTCGAACTTAATAGAATACTCCCAGGCGTGTCCACGCTGGTATCGTATAGTGTCAATTGATGTCAATGCAGCGGAATCAAATGAATCATTCACCTCTCCACAACCTCAAAAAGTTCAACGTACAGAAAATGGTCGTCGCAATACTGCAGGTGTAACTAATTCTCAATCTGACGTAGAGTGGTATCGTAAAGTGAATCGTGACGTTATTGAATCACAGAAATGGGTCTCATCACCGCGATCCGAAAGATTGGAGCGTAGAAGTGAAAGTCAACATCCAACACTACCTTCGTCGTCTTTTCAAGCTCATTCCAACAAATCTCGTTCAGTGATTGCAGTAGATAATATCCATCGTACTAGTTCACAAACTGAACCGATTTCCTCAAATACTCAGTCTAATGAGAGTGAAAGATACCAATCTGACAACATCATTCCTCCAGCTTTACATTGTCAACTTCAAAACTCAAACAGTAATCAGTCACCAGCTGTATCAATTTTTTCAAATTCTGAACGTGGTGCTGCTCAAGATACGACATTTGTTCCTTCTCCAAATGTGACTAATATTTCAAATCGTGCACAAGTTTTGATAGATCTTGATGATATTGCTACTAATAATGAAGATCAACCTAATTCCTCTTATGAAGTCAACCGTAATTCAGTAACCAATGCAATTGAAATTATTCCAACACATCCTCCAACCAATTCATCAGAAATCAATGAACTGGAAACACTTGAAGTTATTATACGTTCGAGGAACAATGCTGATTATACATTTGTTATCTCAAATCCTGCTATTATCAGAATGCATAAGGTTTTGCAAAGACGTATTTTGAGTTCAGACAGTACAAGATCTTCTGCAAATAATTCAATCTTGTATCAACAAGTCAATCACTATATGCGAGTCTTAAGAAACACCATGTTATCAACAGACTCAAATTCTTCAAGTATTTCATCACTTATGAGTGCATCAGTTCCGCGGTCACTCACTATTGATCAATCTTCTTATCCTCTTCTCGAGAATACATCTGAAATGCCACCAGTAATTATAATTGATCGCATTCAAAATGGTATTTATAATTTATTATTTTAAAATATTATACCTAATACCTACTATCTTACTACTGACTAATCTACTAAAAATATTTTATGATTTCTAGGTTGTGCCATAAAAGAATTAACAAACTGTGCTATATGTTTGGAAGATGACAATGGTAATGTCTTATTAGAGCCATGTAATCATTACAATATGTGTGGGACTTGCATGGAAAAATTGACAATATGGATTTGTCCAATTTGTAGAAGTCATATCACAAATATAATAGTTTATGTTTAAGTATGGTATATATGTTAATGTATACACTAAACATTCGGGTGGTCCTTATTTTTTAACTGTAAAATTTTTGAATTCTCATCCTCTTATATTCTCCACTACTATAACCTCATTACATACCACAAAAGAGGTTACAAGGTTAACAAATGTTGAAAAAGATTTTTTTGCCATTTATTTAAATAATTTTAAAAAAAGCGGGTAAGTGGATGTCGCTCTGCTGTACAGTAGGTTACAAGTGGGTCATTGTATAATGGATGGAATTAAATTTGAATTCAATGATACAATATCATTGTATAAGAAAAAAGATTCTGAGTGGAGAAAGTATATCAGTCTTGGTTTAAGACATATTAATACCAATATATCTGAGTCAAAATTCGAATTTTAAATGCTTATAAAAAAAAATTGTGCCTATGTATTTTAAATATTTTACAATTGCTATTGTAAAAATATATCAGGAGCCTTGCATTAAATTTTCAAGCTTTTTCGCCCAACAAATACAATTTTATTGGTATTTATAGAAAAAAAACTAAGAAATTTGAAAATTGACAATGTCCGTAAACATCTCAAAAAGAGTCAAATTATTTTCAAAATTTTATCGTGTTTAGAAAATGCTAATATCAACATTCAGTGAAATGTTCAAGTATCTACAACCATTCGTTTTTTAATTACAACAAAAACAGAAAATCGTTACATGAGAAATCGAGTGAATATCAAATGTAAAAATATACATTTCAAACGCTCATAAAAATTTTAATTTGATTTTCTTCTAAAAATTTTTTTTTTGATAAACGTAGACAAACTTATGAGGAATCTTGTATTAAATTTTAAAATCTTAGATTTAAAAAAAAAATTTTTATGAATTTCTAACTTAAAATAATTTCCAAATTTTCGTCGTTTTTACGTATTTTGTCAATATTTGAACTTTAAATGCTTATAAAAAAAAACTGTGACTAAGGATTTTTAATTTTTTTCATCTGCCTTAGAAAAAATATACTAGGAGCCTTGTATTAAATTTTCAAGTTTTTTTAACCAACAAATAAAATTTTATTGATATTTATAGAAAAAAAAACTAAAAAAATTGAAAACTGACAATGTTCGTAAACAGTTCAAAAAGAGTCAAATTATTTTCAAAATTTTACCGTGTATAGAAAATGCAAATATTAAACAACCTGTGAAAATTTCATATATCTACGGCCATTTGTTTTAGAGTAACACTGAAAACCAAAATCGATTTTGCGTAAAAATTCCCGTTTTTACTTAATTTTTCTTTTGTTTTTCACGTCGCTTTTGAAAACTACTGGGAAATTTTTACTTTTGACCCCCCAAAGTACCAACTAGATTCATTTTCCAATCAGAGAAGTTGTTGTTGAAGAAAATCGAAGCAGTTTTACTGTTCTAAAAGGTGATGACAGACACAAAAAAAAAATAAAAAAACATACATCATTGTAAAATCAATACATTCATCGTTCCACTCAGAATCTAAAATATTACACTTATCAAAAAATGGATATTGCCCGTACGCAAGTTATATATATTGTTTATAAAAAATACATTTATAAGATGCCTCATGAATTTATTTTTTCCCGAGTTTAAAATACTTAATATTTAATCTGAGAAATGTAAAATTTGGCTCAGAAGTAGATCTTATAGTGAAAATGAAGAAATAAATAGTTGAACATATTAGGTGTAAATACAGCTTTGCGCTCAGATAAATGTTATGATTAGTGTAAGATACTACTTATCAACTCTCCCTAAAATGACCGTAACTTTGAGAAAATTTAAAATTTTTAGATTTTTCAATTCACTTGTACTATAAGGCTTAAATTTTCCCAAAATTCATGTTTCTACCAATACGGAAAGTACCTTATAATATTGATGATCAGTGAGTGAGTAAGGCTGTCAGTTAGTAACATACAATTAAAAGTTTAAACTTCTCCCCTTTTTAAAAGGCTTAATATTAAATGCTCAATTTTATATAATATCATAACCCCTAAACTATATTTTAAGCTTAATCTATGCTTCAAATTTCAAAAATCTACCTTAAAGAGATGCAGGGAATGGGGGTTAGAAGAACAGGCTTAAAACATAAGTGTATGGCATATTTGGAACTCGCGCGCCCAGATTAAAAATTAAGTATTTTAAAATTCTTTTTTTGAAATAAAAGATTTATGAGACATTTTAGAAATGTATTAGATTCGAAGCCTGCAAGTGGTGAATGTATTGATTTGACAATGATGAGTGCGTGTTTTTTTCATCAGTGTCATTAACATTTGGAACAATAAAAATTCTTTTACTATTTTTTTATTACAGTGATATTTTATATATCAGTTGTAGGTTAAAAAAATTTCTACCTAACGATTTTCGGTATTTTGTTATAATTCAAAAACGAATAACCTTAGATTCTTGAAATTTTTACCAAATATTTTTATTAGCATTTTCCAATTTTCCATACATGGTAAAATATTCAAACTATTTTGAATTTTTGGGCTATTTATGGTTGTTTGAAAATTTAAAAATTTTGTAGTATATCTTTCAGCCAGAAATTCTTAAAAGTTTTTGTTTTTGTAGATAATATTAGGAATTTAAAATAAAGATTCCCAACTAGTTTTTTTACCACTGTTAAGAAAAATTTAATGAAAGTTATGTTATTTATTGCTGTTATATATTTATTATTATTATTATTTTTTTTTTAAGTGTTAAAATTTGTTTTTTTTTCACAAGTATGCTAGAATGAAACAACGCCTCCGCTCCGAATTGTTTTTCGAACGCTATGATTTATCATTGGATTCAAGCAGTACCCAAAAGGCCTCCTTTTTTTTTTACTTACAATAAATATACTATATATCTATAATTTACGTAGGTTTCATACATTTTTGATAAGCGCAATAATTTTTCATAAAAAAACGATAAAACAACCAGATTTTGAAATTTTCAACACCTCTATGGTACATACTCAGTAATCTTCCCCAAATTGAACTAAATTGACTTTATTATAGTAATGAACAAAATAGGAGGGTACGAATTAAAATATGTACATATTTTTCCCTGCAAATAAGGACCACCCCACTATACATATTATTATGTACTGCGGACTATTGGTAAATCAAAATAACATTTGATAACACATGGGGTTCTTCTCTCTCTCACCAGTGGTGTCATTTGAGTGGGTAAGGTGGAAATTTGCACCTGTCTGATTACAGAAGCAGCCCAATTGTTGAGCTGGTTTTTAGTGAAAATACACAACTCTATTCTATTTATTACTTCGAGAGAATTATAATATTGCGTAATTGTGGAGGACTATTTAATTACTGCACGGTAGTAATATTTTTAGTTCAAATATATTATAATCGTATAATTCTGATACTAAAAAAATTCTAAAAACAAAATTATCACTCTGAGGTTAGGTTCAAAAAATCAACAATGATAAGATACCTATTTAAAAATTGTAATTACGTAGTAGCAATCAGTGGGTAATCTTGTATTATAATATTGTAATTTTATTTGTTCGACCCTCCTTGAAAAACACTAAATACAGCCACTGAAGTAGATATACCAAAATAATTTAGCAACCCCCCCCCCCCATCTTTTTTTGTTATACAGTTATGCAAGTTGTGAATTGTAGCTAGATAAAAATATCAACGGAAATTAGTCTTCGAGCGAAGCTATCTGTTTTTTTGTTCAGTTATGTGGGCTCGTTAAAACTTTTACCCCCTCCTATTAAAAGTTAAATTACGTCATTTTCTCTCTCGCCCTCAATATGTTTATCAACTTTTGATTATGTTAATATTGTTAAAATAAATTTCTCAAAAGTTCGATTTTTTTGGTTGAACAATGCAATAGTGATTAAATGGGTTTTTTTTCTTATGGGCATAATTTATAATTTCTACAATTATATCATATAACAACTGCAGGACCGGGCATTAACGATTTACATTTTTTTCTATGGTATAAAGTTACTTAAAAGTTAATTTATTTTATAGTGGCATTAAGTTAGTAGTATTCCTAATACAATTTATTCTTTAAATACATTTAAAATATATTTTGTTTATACAAATTGTTGTTTTGTATAATAATAAAAATGATATGTAATCAAAATTGGTATTATTTATAATATTATAATTGTATTTATAATATTATGCATTGTAAATACTAAATCGTAGAGTATTATACTTATATTATACTGCTATTCTTATCGGAGTATTGGGTGCAGTATTTCTAGATTTCAATAGAGATCAAAATAAAGTATAAAATTACACAGCTTTATTTATTTTCATAGAATTACAATCCCTCCCAAACATTAATATCGAATCTCGTAATAATAACACATTAACACTGCCAGATTATCTAGACCTACATTAAAGTAGACATTGATGCCATGATTTCTTAAAAATTAACCACACAAATTATAACATCAATTTCTAAGATTCTATCATTGGATGATCTGCCAACTCCCTTTATATATTTTTCCCATATCTATTACTTTCAATACTAATTATTGTTTTTATATTATGTAGTACTTTTATCAAATTTGCTTATTGTATTTTGGCAGAGATTGTGAATATTCAATTTTAAAAAAAATGTAACTGATTTCAAACAAAAATTTTTTTTCTATTTATTTTGTATGCAACGTTAACAAGTTGAAATAATTAGTTAACTTGCCCAGCCTTGAGTTTATAATGTAAAAATTAGGTATATAACTAATAGTACTTACCTAAAGTATTTGAAGGAAAATTAACATGTTAGTATCTGCAGCGTAAATAACATTTTTTTCTAATCTTAAAATAATACATAATGCATTTAAAATTAAAAAAATTGTTCGTATTAATTACAATTCTTTTTATAATTTGGAAAAGTACCGTTATTTCTTAAGTATAAAAAAAATATGTTTTAAAAATAATAACAGTAATAATAAGTTATATTAAATAAAGTATAGGGAACTAAACTACTTTTGTTTTAAATTGACTGGATTACCAATTTAACCATTGGAGTTTTTCTTAGGATTAGACGATGATCATGCAAATGGTCATGCATAATAGATAAATTCCATATTACATAACCTATACTTATAACTAATACAATGCAATACGTTTTTTTCCTAGACATTTATTTTCTGAAGATTATAATTAAGAATATTATTGTTTTCAAATATTCTGACCAACTGTAAATGTATTTCTTGGAAATTATGAAAATACT